CTGATAGTAGCAGCAACTAAATGTGTACCAGGAACCAGTGGTTAATATAATCCAGTTTGAGTTTATTAAATTGGCACAGGACACAATTCATTTGGATAAACTGAGCTACTGTCTGAACTATCACCAAATCTGTTAATAATAATATGAATAAATCCCTACTGTTTATTTATTACAGACTATTTATTCATGTACTATCACGTAGAAATCAATACAAATACAGTTGTGGTTTCTTTGCCTGCATTCACTAAGTTTAAAAACAAAATGAGGAAGGTAATAACAGCGTAAAGCAGGGAAATGAAATAAGCCAACAGTTATATGACTACGTGTTGAATTAGGCCCAGAATGTTCTGAATTGCTGACAAATAACAACATACAAGGAAATAAGAATATTAAGTTACATCATATCCATTCAACAAGTTGAAGAAAGCAGACGAAGGAAATATGAAGGAAGTGAGGCAAATTCACGGCAGAAAATAGATATTTACAATTTATAACAAATAAATAGCAGAGCATGTTAAATTAACAAATTCAAAATACGAAAATATTAGAAAGTTGGAAGGAGAAGAGACAAAAGATGAAGGTGAGAAAAATTCACAACGAAAAATAGATATACATCAATTCTCACAAATAAATAGAAAAGCATATCTAATTAACATATTGAAAATTTCACAATATTAGATAGTACGAGGCAATAGCACGGAAGAAGAATGGAAGAAAGAGGAAATGTGTCGTTGAAGCCCTATGTTTCACTCGGAACCCAAGGGAACAATGATAATGTAAAAATAATAATGCTTCATGGCACTCCATACTGCTGAAGCTGTTGCTGAATTACTTCGCAGTCGAGGTTTTTCAAAGTGGATGAAGTTGAGGTGGAGAGTGAACTGTCACTCTACGGTCTGTTCTATGATGATGCGTAATGGAGCATTTCTGGTCCGTTGATGATGTCTTTCTCCTGAATCGTAATAGGTGTAGGAAATGTCTTCCGGCCAAGGCAGCCTTCTGAAATTCCAGTATGATGCAGCCTAATATTTTGCTTAGAGTAGACCGGAGCATGAATCCACACCAGCTATTATATAGGCTTAAGCTCCCCCCCATCTTTGGCAGTTTGAAAAGATAGCCTTTTCTCCAATCCACGGACGGGTGCCTTCCCTTCCTTCCCTCCAAACCATCTGCAGTAGTGGCGTGAGAGTGTCTGGTGAGGTCTATAGGTCGGATTTCAGTATTTCTGGAGGGTGGGGAGGGGGAAGGATTCCATCTGGTCCTGCTGTTTTCCTGGCATTTAGAAATTTCACAGCCCTCAACACCTCTGTTTCTGTCGTGGATTTGGGCTCACTGAGAGTTTTGTGTCCGTTAGTGGCGTTTCTGCACGGGTCGGAGGCAGTGGTGTATTCAAGAGTCCTTTGAAGTAATCAGCTCAACGTTTCTGCTGCTACACCTCTTTGATAATCTGCTCTCCTCCACTATCTTTCATTTGTTTCATCTCCGTCGATCTCTTCACGAATAGAGGCCTGGTTATCTGGAATAGTGTTCTAGGTCTCTCTCTCACCTGCAGGGTGTTCTACTTAGGTTTCCAGTGTGTCGAGAATCTGCAGATTTGCTTCACCATCCTTCTCTACTCTATCAGATTCCACATATCTGTAGCGGGTAACTATTTGTCTTGCCTCTTCTTCCCTCCTAGGACGACTGTACAAGTTCTTTTCCACATCGCTTTCACAGAGTTTCAGTGTCCTTCCACAAATGTTTCCCCAGTGACGTTGCTTAATGTCACCGACATTCTCCTGATGACTGCAGTGGAGATGTCCTTTGTCACTCCACCCTTCATTTTCTGAGTACTGAAAATGAGACCTTATGGTCTACCTTCGAAGGCTTTCAGCTTCATTCTGACCGTTCCTCGCACTGATTCAACTCATTTCGCTTTTAGATTGAGAATTATCTAATGCATTTAAGCCAAGAATAATGAAGAGGAGTAAAAGCCACAATTGTCTGACATGGTTCTACTGGTAGCTCGCTTATATCAGTCACTCTTCATGAATTCACAGTGTTCTTATACAATATTGAGTGCAACCCTCTTCTACTAAATCTACAATACTCACTCAGCTGGCATATGCGTCGGCGGCACAGTGGTTAGGACTCTCGCCGACCATGCACATGGTCCGGGGTTCGATCTCCTGCCGACGGACACCCGATATCTGAGGTCGGCCTGCAAAATTTGTGCTACCGATATCCATGCTGAAAATTCCATACATCTACCAAAAGTACTGTGTGGAATCAAGCTGTAATCAAAAATTAAAAAAATAAAATAAATATAATATGGATTGTGCACTTTGTGTACAAACTTAATTATCCTTATTTAGCATTCTCTGCATATTTTTAACTTTCTACTCTCGATAAATCCGAGTTTTGCTTTTCCAGTGGCCTGCTTGTACCTGTATGAATTGTATGATTCCGAGTTATGCCACATTCAAGTACCAAGTGGTGACACTCATCACACATGGATTGTAGTAACCCTGAAACATTGTGTCCTTTGACATGTCATTTTAAGAGCCGGAGGACAACCCAGCTTATTTTGATTCATGAAGTTTATTGAATAAATATAGAAGGACGAAGCTCAACGGGATCCGATCATGGTCACGAGAAGTACAAACATCTAAACTGATCTATTTAACAGCATTATGTTAAACTGTGTAAGACAGGTTCCTCGTGGAATCAAGTTTGAAACAAACGAAATTCGCAGGACATCCAATTAACGAATCAATTCTCGAAAAACTAGTAGGGTTTCCATGTGTATGTTATGAATGTATTATCACTAAGACAATCGTCCATCGTTGAGGGATAAACACTCCTCGGCCTGCTACTCCTCAATCTTCTATGTTTCTTTTAGGAACCACACGAATTTCGATGCTCTTAACCACTGATGATAATGAAATAACATATAGAGCCAGGCAAAGGTATATCTATTTTAACTGTAACACCAATGTACCATGAGATACTAGTTTTTCTCTAAATTAAATCAGGTACTGAGAGTCAACAAAGTGAGTGTATCAAGAAATGCATTCAGATTGATATTAGCCAAGACTAGCAAACAGAAGAGATAAGAGGAATGAAGCCTAGAGATATATATACGTGAATATTTCTCATTTTAGCTTCCTTCCTTATCAACATGGAACATGTTTGCTCTCCATGAAACTTCTGTCCATACGATTTTCGCTAAGGTGTTCGTATACATGCAGGTGTATTCTTCAAATTCATGCTTACATTCGTATAATTAGCTTTCAAATTTTCAAATCTGCAGATTCTCGACACACTGGAAACCTAAGTGGAACACCCTGCAGGTGAGAGAGAGACCTAGAACACTATTCCAATTAACCAGGCCTCTATTCGTGGAGAGATCGACGGAGATGAAACAGATGAAAGATAGTGGAGGAGAACCGATTATCAAAGAGGTGTGTGTAGCAGCAGAAACGTTGAGCTGATTACTTCAAAGGACTCTTGAATACACCACTGCCTCCGACCCGTGCAGAAACGCCACTAACGGACACAAAACTCTCAGTGAGCCCAAATCCACGACAGAAACAGAGGTGTTGAGGGGTGTTAAATTTCTAAATGGCAGGAAATCAGCAGGACCAGATGGAATCCTTCCCCCTCCTCACCCTCCAAAATACTTAAATCCGACCTATAGGCCTCGACCTCAAATTCATTCACTTTTTAAACCCTCGACTGGGAAGTTATTCAGCAACAGCTTCAGCAGTATGCAGTGCCATGAAGCATTATTATTTTTATATGATCATTGTTCCTTTGGGTTTCGAGTGGAACATAGAGCTTCAACGACACATTTCCACTTTCTTCTATTCTTCCACCGTGCTCCTCAGCTTGAACCACGATTGCACATAATCTTTCATCTTCTTCTCTCCACACTATCTTCTCCATGTCAACCTAGGACGACCCACTCGTCGGTTCTCATTTGGATTCCACTCAAGTCATTGCTTAGCTGGAGCGAGATGTCATTAGACTGCCTCCCCGATATATACCTGATCAATCAACCTACATTAACTCCTTGTTAATCAATAAGCTCTTGGTATGTTTTTCCCAAATAGAGTTTCTTGATACTTATTCTTTCTGACGGGCCATTTCATACTCAGTATGGATACAGCGAGGACAGCAGTTGATAAAATTCTGCAACCTATTGGAAATCCTTTACGTGACACGCTGGCCTAGTTCCTGACCCGTATACAAGGACCAACTTCAACATTGGTGTCGGAAATCAAAATCTTACTCTCTATGCTGAGGCGGAGTGCAGAAGATTTCCTCACTGGTTTCAGGTTGATAAAGGAGTATCTCGCATTTCCGATTCTGGCCTGCTTTGATATCTTCATGTGTCGCGACTGCCTGCAGTTGACACGATGCTTCCTAGATAAATAAACGCAGGAAGTAACCTCTGTTGGATCTCTCCCGTCGATGGTGATTGGTGCTGGTTGTTGTCGCTGTTGTCGTACGTCAATTATTTTCATCACCTGTGTCTTCTCTATGTTCACCTGGATGGAATCCCATCTTTTGTGACTGCTTCTCCAGCCAGTTTGTTGGATTCCACCCGCAAGTCTTCGAGTCTGTGTGACACCAAACATAAATCATAAGAGAAATCCAGATCTTCTAGAGTCTTCCTATCTGTGGTTCAACGTATTCCTGTCTTCTCAATACCAAGGCACAGTCTGACGCATCATCCATTGTCCACCACAACCAGGAATCTCATCGGTGATTACGGGCAGCCAGCTTCTCTCACTCCTGTATGCACTTCGAACGCCTCGCTGAGTTTTCCGTTGTGGATCACCTGACTGATACGTGGCGTTGTCACATAGCCGGCTGTTGGATGAGGTTGATAAAGACTTGGTCATTGCAAGCCGTGGCGTTGAAGCAGTTTCCAAATTACTTCTCGGTCAACGCTGTCTGGTGAAGGCCTTTCTGAAGTCGATGAAGTTGAGGTAGAGAGAGGTTTGACTGCCATTCTATGCTTTGTTCTGTGATGATGATGATGATGATGATGATGATGATGATGATGATGATGATGATGATGATGATGATGATGATGATGATGATGATGATGATGATGATGATGATGATGATGATGATGATGATGATGATGATGATGATGATGATGATGATGATGATGATGATGATGATGATGATGATGATGATGATGATGATGATGATGATGATGATGATGATGATGATGATGATGCGTAGAGTTGCAATCGGCTCACCACATTACCTGCTTTTCGTGAATGCAGTTTGTTCCAGTCGAAGTTCTGCATCCAATGCCTGTTCTATTCTCTCCAGGATGATGCTGCTTAGTATTTTACTTGGCGTGGACAATAGCATGATTCCACGCCAGTTCTTGCAGAGGCCTTACTAGGTTGGCCTGCTTCGGTAGCTTGACATTGTAACCAGGCTTTATTACAATCGGTAGGTACCTTTCTTTATTTCCAAACATTCTGCAATAATGGCGTGAGCGCATCTGCCACTGTCTCTGGGTCCATTTTCAGTCCTTCGAGGGCAGGGAAATTCCGTCTGGTCCTGCTGCCTTCCCGACTGGACTTCAGTAGCCTGGTAGCATTCAGGATTTCTGCTTTCATTGGAGGATCGGTGTTCACTTGCAAGCAGTTCTGTGCGTGTTTTCAGTGGAGGTATTTTTGGTGGAGTTGCAAGTGAAGGTGGTCGATTAAAGAGTCCTTTAAAGTTATCAGCCCATTGTTGGCTTTGTTCCTCCTCCTTGGTAATCAGGTTCCCTTCGGCATCTTTTATTCGCTCCATCTGTTGGATACTTCGTCTTCTCCTTGGTTTCTTCGGCTTACTAGCTCAGCTCTCACCGTGTTGTATCTTTCGGATTTATTGTAGAAATCCACTACGCTCAACCGAAGACAGTTATACAACCGGGACACAGCAGCTACAACCTACTCCCTCCAAACAATTAACGTATCCGTGGGATATATAAATAATTTGTAGCAGAGGACTTAAACCTTATTTCCAAGTAACCCTTTTGTTGATATAACGTGTCGTTACATTTTTGGTAATATACTGTTACTTAACATTCCATTGATTTGAATTTTATTTCTCATATTTCGTAATACTAGTGAACTCTAACATAAGTCCCCTACACATCATTTGTGTTGATCTCTTCACGGATAGAGACCTGGCTATGTCATTTGATGTACTGAGGTCTCTTTCACCTGCCTATGACCTGCCTGTTCTGCTTCAGTTGCCAGCCAGTGTGTCGTGGAATTGTCTTTTGTCTCTCCTAACACTCATCTTCACTTCTTTATTCAGTGTAGCGTACACTGAACTCAGCCTCTCCTTCTATTGTCCGTCTTGCATTGAGTCGTATTCTCTTTCACCATGTTCCTCTTCTCTCTTCTATTGGCATCCAGGTGTCCGTTGAAAGCCATTCCTTGTCGTGTCTCTTCTTTTCTCCTAGAACAGTTGGACACGTTTCCTTGAACATCGTCTTGGAGAGTTAGTTCCAATGTTCTTCCAAGCGTGTTTATTCGGTGATGCCACGTAGTGTCTCCGACTTTGTTCTGACCTGATATGTAGTGAAGGCATCACTTGTAGTTTTGTCATTCACTTTCCGAATGTTGAACTTGAATTTCAGTGGTCTGTGTCCAGTTCTTCTGAAGGATTTCAGCTTCACCTTGCAGCTTCCTTGGACTAGATGATGATCAGAGCCCACATATGCTCCCCTTCTCGACTTTGTATCCAACAGACTAGCTGCGTCTCCACTTCTTGGAGCACCATTGAGATGAAGTCTATCTGATTTTTGGTGTGTCCATAAGGTGAAATCCATGTTTCTTTGTGTGTATCCTTGTGTTTGAAAAACATTGTCTATGATCACCAAATCGTTGAAAGCGCAGAAGTCTGAGAATGATTCCTCGTTCTCATTCATTTCTCCGAACGACAGAGCCTCTCGAACCATGATGAGTTCTTTTCACGTATTTTCTGCTCCCAGTTCAGCTGTCACTCATATCGCCCATGAGGATTTTGATATCACCATTTGGGATAATGTCCACTACTGTTTCTACTTGTACGTGTCTGCGAAAGTCTTCCTTCGTCTCCTGTCTCGGGTTGCTTGTGGAAATGTGAGTAGCATTGCATAGTTGTAACCATCCTCCGTCCTTTTGAGTTGAATCTCTCTGTCATAATCCTGCAGGATGAAATTGGTTCCCACTGCATTAGGGGTTCGGCTGCTACTGGTGACGTCATGATGGCCACTCACTGCCTTAGAGTTTCTGCTCGTGGTTGTCGTCTGGGTGAACAGAGTAGATTACTGAATCTCCAGTTGACAATTTTGACAGTCCACATCCATTCCATCTGCTCTCACAGATACCCAGAACTTCTATGCCATATCTTCTCATTTGTCTGGCTACCTGAGCAGCATTCATTTCTTCGTACATTGGACGTACATTCCACGTCCCCATTCTTATTCTTGCTTTCATCGAGATAAAATACATCGTTTGGCTCACTTGCTTCTCGCAGGATTTCACCAGCCTACGATATTTGGCCTCTCCAATTCTAGCAAAGAATAAGCTGCTGTTCGAATGTTTTCTATTTCTAATATATTTTCTGTGAGTTGGAAGTTCCTCTAGCGGTTTGATAGGTTCAGTAGTGTAGGGTTGCTAGCACCACGGACAATCTTCCCTCTTTACACCGGCGTTACGCCGGCAAGTAAAGTAGCAAGCCGGCTAACCAGGCGAGACTGTGAAGCGTTATGAACCTCTTTCGACATCCATGTGATGATGCCACATGCCAAGTTATTCACAGTGCGTCGCTCATTGAAGCGTTTGAAGTGAAGACAGCAGCAAGAAAAGACTGTCTGCTGTCACTGATATTCATCCTGATTGTGGTGCACTGGATCATGTGGTAGATCATGAGAAGTGATTAGACAAGCAGAGGTCAGGCCAACTAAGAGACCCTGGGACATCTGAACTTCATGGATTATTTATGCATCATGACATGCATGCTCGGACATTTATAGTCGAAAATCAACCAGTCAACATGCAGAAGACGGAAGTGATGAGCGATAATCACCATCAATGGGAGGAATTTCAAAGAAGTCACCTCTTTCACTTACACGGTCAGACAGTATCAGTCCGAATACAGACGCTAACGGATGAGGATGTCAAAGCTAGTATCGAGGAAGCAAGCCAGGCGTTTGTTGCTATGAAATCAGTGTGGGGATCTACATACAACAAGGAAGAACATCAAAATGTTCAACTTGAATATTCAATTCATTACTTTTATTTGGTTCAGAGACGGCTAACGTGCGTCATCAAATGCACCTCCAACGGAATGCCCACTTTCATCAACAGACACTCTCACTAAATACTGGAGATCGAATGGCGGGTGGCTAGCCAGCCGAGAACTTATTGCCCAGAGGAAATGTTCAAAAGGAAATGGAGGTGGATTGGACATACACTGAGGAGACATTCGAGTGATATCTTATGACAACCACTCGAACACAACTCGAGTGGGAAGAGAAGAGTTGGGCATGTGTCTTCGGGTCGCACGAAGGAAACCATATGATGAAGGGTATATGAAAGCTTGTGAGCAATCATGGAGTCATCTGGAAGTGATAACAGAGGATTAGGAACAATCTGGGTTCGCTCAATTGACATGCAACTTTCGACAGACGGTATTTAACAGACTTTCCTGACTGAACCGACCAACAAATCATTTATTTCTGGATGGTTTTCAAGGAGCTTGTGAAATTTCATGGATATCACCTGAACTAGCTCCTGGTACGTATAGGATTGTCAACCAGTTTGGAGTAGGAATCATTTCGATTACACACTTTTTGCCTGCGAAACCTAATACGTAGATAGGTGAAATTCCTGGTCATTTATTCAGATTAGAGATTAAACAACATACATGGGAATTCACTATTAAATATTTCTAGGAATAATACGAAAATGTGTTACAGCCAATTTTTTTTAACTTCAAGGACATCAATCGCAGTTATTGCATATTTTGGTCATTTAACCAGGCCACCTAGACAAATTTTAGTTCATTTAATACTTATGTTTTATTGGAAAACCCTTGTGACAGATTTCATTTAGGTTCACATCTGCCTGTTTGATATACATTGATTCAATCATCCTAGTATGGTTACAAATATATATTTAGAGGCTAGTGAATATTTGACCTAATATATTCAATAAAATCTAGATATCAGATAGATGGTAGGTAAACAAGCATCATACTTATAGGTTTATACTGAAATAAAAAATTGAATTTCTCATTCTATGGTACAAAGAAAGCCTCTCCTCACTTTTCCAGGCCATAAACCCTTTGCATGTCATTTCTGTTTTTTAGACTGTAAGTAAAGTGAAACGGATCATATTTTCTTTGCTTGGGTGTAAATGAATCATACTGTTTCTGTTATTTACGCTTCGACGATTGCATATGTTGAAGTGAGAGTGGGTGAACACAATATTACGTTTCGTTTTGTTCTTTGAACAGATAGATTAATCGCTGATTTTCAGAAGCATTAAATACAAAATAGCAAATATATATCTTATTTTCTCCACTGCTGAAAATCAACAAATTCCTTCTGTGTCACTAAATATTTCATTTTTATTCTTTAAAAAGGAATTCCACTGTCCATTAACCAATAAACCAAAGTACATCTAATGAATAACAATAAATGAAGCTAAGATGACCTTCGTGTGTCAGTTATTTTCACGCTTACTAGATATTAGTCAGTTTTTATACTTTAAGGTTGTTTATTACCGTTACATGATATTTGATAGAAATCTATTAAAAATTAAGAAGCACTAATTAAGAACACTCAGTTTATAATGTAATAACTAATTACTACATTTAAGTTTAACATACTGAATAAGGACTAAAATATATTTGACCACTATATAGTCAATATCGATTGTTCCGACACGTATACTTTCTTATCAAATATGGTGAAAATATAGCTACATCAGTAGCGCCTTCTTAAAGAAAATGTAACAAGTGAACTTTCTAACTAAAATAGAAAGAATTCAATGCATTAAAAAATTCATACATGAGGTTTGCTCAATAATAAATAGTGAACTAATTTATCATACAAATAAGCTTGATTCATCACTTTACAAGAAAATATACTTAATTATTTTAACGAAGAATTAAGATTCATCTGTTATTTCAGAATTCTAAAGTTACAGATTTTGGCAATTTATATATAGAGTCTAAGTCATACAATTCAGAAATAGGGGTATTATTTTATCTCATATGAACCTCAGGAGATAAATTAACTGCTATAAATACT